GAGTTGCAAAGAAATCTTAACTCTCCACCATGCAAAAAAGTATGCATCGAAAGCTGACAAGGGTCTCTAGTAGGTAAGCATCATAATCACCCATGGACCCATTTCCACGTAATAACATCTGAGAGCTCTACTCCATCAGATCCCCACAACCATGGCAGTCTCAACGATGTTGGCCAACATCGGAGAATCAAACGGTCCCAACCGCGAATATCACTGGTGGCCTAGCCATATATAACAACCCATGGCCTTGCCACATAAATCATAGACTATGACCCCAGCCACGTCTAGTAGCCCGTCGATGACCTAGAGGTTTTCTAGCTAGAGCTCACTTGTGCACAAGGATCACACTTAACTGAAGTGACAACCGACCTACTCTCAATGCTCTCGGTTTGTCAAAATCATTTTAAACACCAATTCAAAGGTTGTCCAAGACTTTTCCTTTAAATCATTTAAAAACAAAGTTCAACAACTTTTCCAATTAACCTTTCGTGTTAAAAGGCATGGTGTAAATATTTATGTACAAATCTGGCTAAAACCGAAGCTCCAAACTTGCATTCAAAATCATTTAACGAATGCATTAGCTATGCATATCACATAAAAATACAAGGAACAGATTTTGATGCAAACATCGTGAAAGGCTTGTTTCCCAATTTCTAAAACTCTTTACGTGTATAGCTTATCTATCGGTATATCCAAATCAATTTGGAAACACTTACATCCACAAACTTCCTATGGTTTTTACCAGCTAATGCTTTCCACAATAGCAATATACAAATCATTGTAAATCTGTTTTAAAACTACCTATCAAGGTTAACAACTCATGCTATCCACAACGCACTTAAGAAAACCATCGACGTTTACTAACGTAAATCAATCAATTTATATAGTGCGGAGATTTTAAAATTGGCACCCCCTACTCACCTCACAATAGCATCCAATATCACCATGAACTCTAAGATCTACTTGCATGCATGCCTCGGGTCCTTTGAATCCATCTGGGTTCTTGCTACCACAAACCAAAGCACACTTTAAAATTGATTTACAATGCATGCATGTCATGAAAAATGAAGATCCCATCAATTACCTTGCCTCGGGTTCACTAAGCCGAACCCTCCTTTTCCTTTTCTTCTTCTTCCTTTCTCCCTTTCTCTCCTTCCTTTCTTCCTTTCGCTTCCTTTTTTCTTCTCCTTTCTCTTTCTTCTTGGTAGTGACGGATCTCTCAAGGCAAAAGACTTGAAAATGCCTTTGGTTTCTCCATTTTGTTCTCTATGGGCGGATTGCCCAAGGTCATTTGCTTTTCATGTTGTTTTCTTTCCTTTTTCTCTTTATTTTCTCTATGGGCAGATTGCCCAAAGCTTCATGCCTTTTTGGCATGTTTTCTTCTCCCTCTTTGTGACAAAAGCACAAGGCAAAAGCCTTGAAAAGTTGTCCACCCGTCACACCCATTTTCTATATCTTTTTCACTTTTATTTCTCTTGGTTTCTTTATTCTATTTTTTTTCTTTTCATTCCTTTATTTGTTCCTTATTCTCATTGGACCAACTCACTCTCCACTCACATTTCATGCACACATTATCTCTTTTGCTCATTGGTCCAAAATCTATCTTAATTGCCTTCCATTTGCCACTTCATTTTCTTACTTTTATTTTTATTTCCTTTGCCACCTATTTCTTCCAATTACATTTCATGCACAACTTTCCTTTATATTTTATTTGGCCATTTATCCAACCAATCAAGTCTCATGAACCCACATTTCACTTTCCTTATTTGACCACCAAATGCACCAATCAAATTATATGCAAAAAATATTTAAATTTATCTTTCCCTTGTTCTTTACATTGTAGGGGTCCCACATGTTCCCCACTAAGTTCTCCTTTTTGGCACACTATAGTTTGCATGTAATAGTAACTTTTACATGTATATCTCATACTCCTCATAATTTACCTTCCTTGGTTAGTAAATATCCATTTTAACTTCAAATATTGTAAATTGCACTTAAGTCCTCAAAGTTTTTTTTATTTACCGTGTGACCTTCCGAACTTTTCATCTTCAGAATTCGGTCCTTCCAACATGTTTTAAACTCAAATTTTCTTTTATTTTCCTTCTATTACATGTGTACAAATATATTATAAGGTTTGCACTTAATCATGGTGTCACCGTAATATTTAAATATATACTTACCCGCTCGTGCTCTATTGAATAAAGGCACGCGGGCCTACTAAAGTCATTTTTCTTCAAAATTCATTCTTACTTCTTCTCCCCCACTTAGATCAGTCATATACTTCTTCTTCGCGACTAACTTCAACCACAGATAAAATATTAATATTTTAATATTATTTTATTTCAAATTTTTCAACTTATCCCATCGAGATCCAAAATGTCTCACTTTGTCCCGATTCACTTTAGAATTGCCTTTTTATCTCACTACTTTATCCTCGATAAATTATTATTATTTAATTATCATTTTCTCGCTCACAAAATATTTTATTCCAACATATTTCTTTCACCTATCACTGCTCTTTCGCACTTAGATTTACATCCATCAACCCTCTGTCTCATCGATGAGATCATATTGACTCTTATATGAGGGTACAGGGTGTTACAAAGTGTTGTTTGGAAATTTGACTTGAAGAGCTTCCTTTAGTTCATTACTTTTGAATTTTAGCTAATTAACTCCTTGGTTAACTAATTAAAAGGCTTCTATTTATGGCTCTTTTTGTGGCCCTTTCTCTTGATGAGTTTTGATGGTTGGTTTCAAGCAATTATTCTATTAAGTGATTTATATTTTTATCTTGCACACTCTAGTAATATAGTTAGACATAAATGAATGGGAACCTTTTGTTATAATCAAAACTTATGAAGTCAACACTACATGCCTGCATGCCTACACAAGGAATTGGTTGCCATGGTTTCTATAATAAATATTGGAATGGTAACAAAATTGAATATGATTGTTGATTCCAAATAAAGTAAAGATTAAGGACTAGATTCTTGTACTACAATTCATGTATGCAATGACAGAAACTTGTTCAAGACTTACATGGAAGTTAATAAATCAGAAGATATTTTGATGGGAAATCATGTTGCAACCAAAGTGGTAGGAAAAGGAACTGTCGAGTTTAATTTCACTTCTAGACAAAAGCTGGCATTACTCAATGTATTTCATGTTCTTGAAATTCAGAAGAATTTAGTTTCTATTAGTTTGCTTGTAAAGAAAGAATTTCAAATTGTAATAGAATATGAAAATGTAATTGTATCCAAAGGTCGTCTATGTGTAGGAAAAGGATACATTTGTAATGGCATGTACAAGTTCAACAGTAATGAAATAAATATAATTTCTACTTATACTGTTGAGTCTAATCTTTTATTATGGTATGCTAGCTTAAGACATTTAAATTTTGGTTCTATGAGATTTATGTCATAAAATGGTTATATTGCATGCAAACATGAACACTTAAAAAAAATGTGAAAAATGCATACAAGCAAAAATGACAAAGAAACCTTTTCGTAGTATAGAAAAAAACTCACAATTATTAGATATGGTGCATTTTGATATATGTAAATTAAATGGAAAATTAACTAGAGGAGGAAGGAGATATTTTATAACTTTTATAAATGATTATTCTAGGTTCACTTATGTCTATTTAATTAAAAGAAAAGATGAAGCTTTTCAAAAATTTAAAGAATAATAATCTATTGTGGAAAATCAAAAAGGTAGGAAAATTAAAATTCTAAGAAGTGATAGAGGAAAAGAATACTTAACTATAGAATTTGATAATTTCTATGAAGAAAATGGTTTCATACGTCGAAAAAGTGCTCTTTATTCGCCACAACAAAATGGATGGGCTGAAAGGAAAAATAGAACTTTGGTTGACTTGACAATGCTATGTTATTGAATACACATCCATCACATGATTTATGGGGTGAGGCTTTATTAACAACATGTCATATATTGAATAGAGTTCCTGCCAAGAGTATTAAGGCTTCACCTTATGAACTATGAAATGGAAGAAAACCAAACTTAGCATATCTTAAAGTGTGGGGGTGCTTAGCCTTTTATAAAGTTCCTGAACCACAGAGAACAAAGCTTGGACTTAGAACAATGAAAAGCATTTTTGTTGGCTATGCTCAGCATTTTAAAGCATACAGAATTTTAGATTTACAACAAAATGTTATTGTAAAGTCTATACATGTTGAGTTTATTGAAAATAAATTTCTGTGCAACTCTAATAATAAATTTGATTGTGAACTTAATGTCTTAATTCCAAGTTGTTACCAAGGTGATATGATTTCTCATGTTACATTCAGTAAAAGAAAAATGGATGATATTCAAATTGAGCTAAGAAGAAGTCAAAGAGCCATAAAAAGAAAGCACTTAGATCCAGATTTCATTGACTCGTAAGCATTAGCATTTCTTATGAAAAAAAGTAGAACCAAAGTGTACAAAAAGATATCTATTTTGTTAAACGTTGAAGATGATCCAAAAACATTCAAAGAAGTTATGTCTTCAAGAGATGTAACTTCTTGGAAAAAAGCAATAAATGATGAATGGATTCAATCTTGTCAAACAGAACATGGGTTTTGGTTGATCTTCCTCTTGGTTCAAAATTCATAGGCTCTAAATGGGTATTTAGAAGAAACTATAACATAGATGGTTCGGTGCAAACCTTTAAGGTTAGACTAGTTGTCAAAGGTTTCATGTGAAAAGAAGTCATTGATTATTTTGATGTTTATGCTCCAATAGCAAGGATAACATCCATACGAATGCTTTTGGCTACGGCATGTATTCATAAATTACATGCACATCAAATGGATTAAAAACTGTCATCTTAAATAGAGAACTTAATGAAAAAATATATATGGAGCAACCTAAAGATTTTATACTTCTTGAAAATGAAAAAAAGGTATGTAAACTAATCAAATCTCTTTATGGACTAAAACAAGCTCTAAAGCCATGGCATGAAAAGTTAGATAGAACTATACTTTCAAACAGATTATACATAATAATGCAGATAAGTGCATTTACTCTAAATTTACAAAAGACTATGGTGTAATCATATGTTTTTATCTAGATGATTTGTTAATTTTTGGTACAAATATGCTTGAAAACCAAGAAATATTTGACTTTAGTTTTTAAAATGAAATATCTCAATGAAGCTGATACAATCTTGGGAATTAAAGTAAAAAAAGAGCAAAATGTTATTTCATTAAATCAATCACATTACATAGAGAAAATTCTTCACAAATATAGTCATTTAAAAATCAAAGAGTTTAATACTCCTTATGATTCTAGTATAAAATTGACTAAGAATTGCGAAAAAGTTATGGTACAATTAAACTATGCAAGTGTCATAGGTAGCATAATGTATGTTGCGCATTGAACCAAACTTGATATAGCTTTTGCCATTTGCAAACTTTCGAGGTTTACAAGTAAACCTAGTAAAAATCATTGGAAGGCTATTACCAGAATACTTGGATATTTAAAAAAAACAAAAAAAGAAAATTTATTACAATAGTTTTCCTAGTACTTTAGAAAGATTTTCTAATGCTAGCTGGATAACTAGTGTTAATGAAAATAAATCCACATTAGGATGAATTTTTACCTTAAGAGATGGTGCCATCAGTTGGGTATCTAAAAAGCAAATTTGTATTATGTATTTCAATAATGGAATCTGAATTTTTATCATTAGCAACTGCTAGAAAGGAAGTAGAATGGTTGAGAAATTTGTTATTAGATACAAAGTTATGGCCACAACTGATGACAACCATCTCTATATATTGTGATAGTGAGGTTACAATGTGTGTAGCTCACAATAAAATTTATAATGGACAGTCTACATACCTAAGTCTACGACATGTCTACATAAGATAATTAATCTCAAGAGGCATTATAAAAATAGTTTATGTTAAATCTTAAAGGAATGCGATTGATCCACTTACCAAAGCTTTGCCAAGAAAGGTTGTAAAATCAACTTCTAGTGGAATGGAGCTAAAACCCTTAACTTAAAAGCACTAGTAATGGAAACCCAACTTTGAGTTAGCAAAGCTAACAATAAAAGTTTAATAGGTAATAACAAGTTACTATATGCTATTATTATGCACTGAATTTTTAATATTAAATAGCCCCATTCTAGAATTTTCAAATTGCCTCATTCTAGAGTATTCAATGCAACTGTTACGAGGAGAGGATGAGCAAAAGGCTATTAATGGAAATGTCAAATGCTTGTAGTAACAAGGGCATAATTATAAATTTCACCTATATGAATATTAGAGTGGCACCAATTCAAACAAGAGTTAAAAAGGGTTTACTCTTGTAAATATTCATAAAACCAAGATTAGCACAAGGCCATATAAGTGCTAAAGCAGTTGGCAGAATCTTAAAGCAATTCAATAATTCTATGTGTGTGATATTCTCA